TGATGACGACGATACTGATGACGACGATAATGATGTCGATTAGGATGATGATGAGGACGATGAGGATAATGATAATCATGATGAAAGTGATGATGAGGATGACGATGACGAAAATAATGATAATCATTTAATTATTGTTGAGACATTTTCCTTCTACTCTGTGTCGTTGAAAGTCGTGTCTATCCTCAACATTCTGTCTTGTGTACTTTCAATAATTGACGACAAGGAGGAAACTTTTCTTTCTTTTCCTTTTTAACGCATTGTACATATATTTTTTTTTAAATTATTTTTTGATGTTTTTTTTTTTAAAACAAAGAAATCATCACATTTGTCTTTAAATAAATTAAGTATGAATATCTGTGTTCTGAGTTGTGAGTTGAGTTATGTATTATGAGTTGTGAGTTGAGTTATATGTTATGAGTTGGATTATCATCATAGCAATCCGAAAACATCCATAGGCGCTCAGATTCCCCTCTCAACATATTCATCTGCGTCGCGCGGTTAATAATGCCAGTCCTCTGTTGGTTAACAAGAACGTGTGCGTCCGGTGTGCTTCTCATGCGCTTGGTTATGGCGATCTTTACTCCCAATTCTCGTATTCTTAGCAGTGATGTGGATACGTTGCTTCCAAAATCCTCAGAACGTTCTATCTCTCTGCCAATGTCTGCGTGATCCATGGGCCGGCCATCTTTAATTAATGCAGCCCCTGCCAACCATCAGCTCTTTCATTACCAACAACGCCTTCATGCCATATGACGAAAATTAAGGTAACTGGACACACAAGGGAGTTGTGCAATTTTGCAATGACTTAAACCACTGTCTGTGTAACCAGCCTGCCTCGACGCGCCGGATGATGCTCAAAGAGTCGCTCATCGCACACACGCACGAGTGCCCAGTCTTCTAAAGGCGTTTCATCTGTGTTCTGTTTTGTTGAGTTGGTATTAGAAATTGGAAGCACACATACTAGTATGGTAATGTCAAATGTCATTTCGAATTGTACTAGGCTCACCTGTTCCGACGAATGTTCTAACGATCTTTGTCATAATAAGGATCTTATTTCACAAACTGCAAAACACACACACATTCAAAAATTCATTCTCCCACTTGCGCTCTTTCTCACGTTTCCTCTCGTTTACATACACACACACACAAGCACCCGTGCACCACACACACACACTCACACAATTATTTCTACCCTCTGCAGAAAGTTTGCAACAGTGCGATCTTGAACTTTGAACTCATACAGTAATACACAAAGATGTTGACACTGAAGTTGACAGTTTGAACAAAGGCGGTCAAGGACCAAACAACAAAGAAAACATTCACATATTTTCCTGTAAAACTAAATTCAGGGTTGTACGCCATCAGGAAAAAGTTTATGGTAGCCGGTGTGTTGCAAGTAATGAAAATTATGGAAATCAGAATGACCATCTTCACAACTTTTTTCTCTTTTGCTGAGATTGTTTCTTGTTTTTCTGCCGACAGCGAGATAGATGTTTGCCGCCATTTCTGCTTCTTGTTGAGCTCATAGATGAGAATAGATGTGAAAACGATGACAGATAACAAACAGAAGACAGGAAGCAAGACGCTGTGGATTGGGTATGTAATCGTCTCAACTATGACCCTATTTTCTGAGAATGCTAGCGTTAAAATAGTTGTGTTCCGTAAGGGGTTTTGAACCCAGACCAGGTTGTTGACAAAGTAGAAGGGCGTGAAGAGGCTGATCATTAGCATGAAGATAGAGATGATGATGAACTTGGTTCTGAAAGGTGTAATGACATCTTTGACTTTGAGAGGAATGGTGACGCACAGGCATCTCTCCATGGTGATGAAGGCGGTGATGAGACTCGTGATTCTGAAATTAGATACAAGAAAAAGTATCTGTTGATGATTTCAACTAGAATTGAAGGCCTAGATCAATCTTTTCTCTAAACCATGTTCTGGCTTTTAGAGTCACGTGTTGAAGAGGCCTCTGATTGCGAACCTTTGCGAGTGCTACATAGATGCTGACATTCACGGCCTCAGATATTGTATCTATCCATCTCTTTTGAGGGCGACCCCTAGATCTGCTCCCGTTATTTCGAAATGACTTGGAAGCCAGAGCTAGTCTTGACTCATGTCTGACTTATTTGATCTATTCTCTATTAATTAGTTTAGTATTGCTTTCGTCCAACATTTTCCTGATATCATCATTTAGGATCATGTTTCTCTTGGCTACACTTTTAATCTATCGTAGACATTTCTTTGATGTTTCAATTTTTCCTGTTTCTTTTGTTGTTAATGTCTACTTTTGAGATACATATGACACAGTTGAGTCTGAATTCTTTTGTTTTTGTTTCTCATAGAAAGCTTTTTTTTCCACTACTAACTTGCAAGGCCTGTCGCTGCTACAAGGAGCATTTCACCAGATGGACCCCATTACATCCCACATTCTGAGCCAGAGACCTATCAGTCTAAGACAAAATAAAAGTTAGTTAGACGAGGCTCGAACACCACTGGTGTCGGATCTCCATAACTGCTCCGTTGCTGTGCTAGTGGAAATCGCATAAAATCTGCATTCTTCCATTCGAAAACTAGTGAATAAAACTTGTTAGTCCCAGCAAAATATGGAAGCTTGCACATGCAACATATAAATGCATAACACATCCTTCTGATGTGCCAACATTAATGTACAAAAATGTAAAGGTCCTTTTTTACACGCCTTTAGGCGTAAAGGGCGTATAGGGCTAGACTTGTATTTTTATAGACCAATCGGCACAAGATGGGTAATGTGGTCAGCATCACACCAACTGCCTTTACTTCCAGGGACTGCACCCGATACCCACTCAAGGCTGTGTCGATCTGGGGGTCAATGTCATTTCTGAAAAAAGTCTGGTTCCGCCAGGGAGCGCACCCACGATCTTATATATCATATTATTATATTATCATATGAATATAACATGCTTATTGATAAAATACAGCTGCAGTGTGAAAGACGGGTGTTTGGAAGGGCCGAACGTAAGACGGGCCTGCGTGCCCAATTTGGGACAGTTTGAAAATAAAGAGCGTTCGTTCGTTCGTTCGATGCGCATGCGGGTGTCTGGCGCTACGCCACGGCGATTCCAAGCAGTAATGGTTCCACTGATAAAAGTTAAACATAAGTCGCCGCCCGTGACGCAAGTCTTAGGCCAGTTCAGGTGGGATATCACTAATGACCTGTAGTTAGATTACCTGCCTACCTCAAAACTTTCTTCTTTAGTTTTTGTCTTTACTGTTTCAGATGGCCTGCCCTGTTGTGGTTTACAGCCAGGCCATGATATCTACCCATTTCGACCCAATAAATAAAATTTCATTCTCTAAATTAATCACATTTTACGGCATTGTTAAGAGATGGTGGGTGTATTTTTCAAACCCCCTTTTTTTGGCCCCCCCCCCCCCCCACCCTTCACACAAAACCTAGGACCCTGGAACTAACAAGGCAAGGTCTGAAGCTTGATTTCACACGCATGCGGTTTTGAATGTGAATTCGGTTCTCAAATATACAGAGCCTAAAATGAGTTCTGTGAATAAAGGCGAACGGCGTTATAATAAACACACATCTTGTCCAGTACCGATCAGTTTGTAAACCTGTTGGCATATCAAACACCTACGATAGATATACAATTACAGCTGTACTTGCAAAACTAGACATGGCCAAAAAGGTATTTTGATCCTTTATGTGATATGCCTCTTCAGCGCTCATTGAATAACTTTATACCTGTTTGTTGTTAACTCATGTTGTCATAGTCTAAGATTCACAAAGCGTGCTCAGGAAGTTGAAGTCAGATTTTATTCGTCTGAAATGGGTTACATGAATCTAGATGTTTCTGGTGTTGATAGTTACACGGATTACCCCCCCCCCCCCCCCCCCTTCCGGGCTATTCAGGTGTGTTTGGGAATGAGCAGACAGATAGGCTGGCTGGCCTGGCCTCACTTGGAGGTGTATTGCATATGAACAGGGCAGAGGTGATCCCTAAGCTGTGTGACAGGGTAACAGGTGAAATGGAAGAAACTGAAAGCCCCTACGTGGAGAGAATGAAACAGCTAGGAGTAGCTATTTGCTCTGGGCGCCACTCAGAGGGAGGAAGGCAAGACAAGTAGTTATACTGATGGTAGCTGCTGTCATCTGGTTAAGAACTTTTATCTACCTGTTGAAAAGGGAAACTGAGCTATTATGGGCTTGTTCTACAACTGTGATGTGCAATCTTTACCCATAACAGCAGTTCTCAACCTGCGAGTCGCGACCCTTTTTTTTGGGTGGCACGACTCTCACACAAGGGTCGTCTAAGACCATCGGAAAATACATATTCATTGAAGTTATGAAGAAAAATAATTGCATGGGGGTCTCGCCACAACATGAGGGAACTGTATTAAAAGGTCGCGGCATTAGGAATGTTGGGAGCCACTGTCCTAGATGAATCCAAATGATAACCTATACGTAGACTTGATGGACCAAGGATTTCTGGCTCTATGGATTTTACTATGAAAAGTAATGTTTACATTAAAAGTGTTAATATTTATTCGCCTCATTTAAAGTCCCCACTCTAACAAAAGATTTTAAGACATGATTTTCATTCATGGATTGACCTTAAGATTTAATGAAAGTACTAGCCGATCTAACTGGTCTTCCATGACTCATCTATTGCATATTGTGATCCAAAAAATTAAACTACCTTCTCCCTGTCGCACCTTTTCAAAGATATTGCAGAAATCTTCGGTAGCTTTTCATGGATCAGACAGTTGTATTAGTAAAGTAAGTAAAAGTCCATTTTCCACGCCTCTACGAGTATTGGTAATATAGGGCTAGCCCTATATTTGTATAGACCAATCAGCACTTGGTGTGTGAAGTAGTCAGCACTACGCCGGCAGTATTTACTTCCCATGACTGCACAGAAAGTTGTATTGGTGGGAGAAAATCACATATTTACATTACTGGTTTGGCACCACAATAAAATAGTAATGACAGTAAGAAAACGCCAAACCTGTTGAAACATGCATGTGGCCAACCTCCACTCAGGTACATCACATCGGACGGGTTGAAGTTTATGTCTGGGGTCTCTAACAATGGGCTGAAGCTAATGCTCACCCAGACCATGGTCAACGCACAACCTAGATCTCCCACTGCCAGACCTGTCAGATATGAGAATACAAATGTAAAAATAGGAAGAGTAAAGAAAAGACAGGGTTTTTTTTCTGTGCAGGAACCATGAGATATTACTCATGGCCCAAACGATAAATATGTGGATTGTGAATGACACAGGTACAGCTTGTTTTACATCTGTTTATTTTCCTGAATAGAAAACTGTCGTGCTTTGCAGATAACAATAAATTAACAGTCAACAACATGTACGAACAGATGATGTGCTAATCACTCTAGCTAACAAAAATGAGAGTTCGCCTTCAGCGACCTATTGTCAGATCTTCAACGAGGATGCACATTGAAATCTAAATCTAATACAATCTATATGCTGAAGGTACCACTACAACACAAAACCAGGGAGTCAATCCATCTCTAGACTCAATCCCCACAGAACCAACGTTGCGCCAAGAACCCTCACCGCCAAAGATACCCTTTTTTCAAGTCCCGCGTCTTTAATCACCTCTACGGGCAACCGTGACTCAATGGGAACTTCCAGAGGTTTCCAATCTCCAAACATGCCAGTCTGAGTCGGCTATTTTAGGCGAAATTGACTATGATGTTGGCATTCCTGTTGTATGATAAGTTGGGAATGTAAACATTGGAGCTACTCACAGTTGTAAAATAGAGGTTGTTTGATATTCACGGCTGCAGTAAACTCCCCGAGTGCGGTGTAGAATGGGAAATCTACGTGTGATTGACCGTGGGTGGGAAGTCCTGTGCTAATTTCAGTCAGTAGCTTTCAGTTGGTCTAACTGTATGGACGTGTGTGTTTAAATTGTTCGAGTCCAGTGGATGCATGGATTGTGTTTGTTCAAGGTTTATTTTGTCTGGACCGCTGAGGGGAATCTGAGATGGACTTAGGAATTATGCCAAATTACAGAATGGATGTTTGTAAAGCTTATTTGTATGGGGTGGGGGGGGGGGGTCCCGCACAAGGGCGGCTATTTGGCACGTTGGGAAACTTTGTGTGTGTTGACCAACGTAGAATTGTGATTGGGTAGAAGTAGTTGTACATTTTACCCCACTAGGACATCACACAAACGATAAACATCTGATGACACAAAGTGCCACCATGAGGATGAGGATCACCCGTAGATAGCTCCCGTAAACCGCGTTCAGCCATTAGACCATATTTGTGGCCAGGCTATATTGCAGCCCCTGGCAAAAGCCAGGTTGTGGCTTCAAAATAACGAAAAATTGCATCCTACAAGGAGATGACTAGCATATAGGTGATTGGGAGGTAACGTAGGCTTGTTGATGGGATGTTAGCGATACTTCAATGATTGACTGGGGTAGCAGACGAGAAGTCTGGAGTCTTTCAACAAGTGGTGCAGCTACCTTGAATCTTCGAATGACAGGGCCATTTACCAGAACCGTCAAAGGATTCTCATTGCACATCGAATAGGTGTATCTGCGCAGTCGGGCGTGAGTAGCCAGTAGCAGGTATTTAGTACATAGTTCGCTGGGGTGTTTTTCCCCCCTCCATGTCTGGATAGTCTGCTGATGTAAGCATTTAGGAGGCAGTAGACTTGAGAGTGAATCATCAATAACCCATTCATCTTCGTCGCAATGTGCTCGTTTATAAAAGTGGTGTATATTAATTAGTACAGTTCTCGTGGGCAACGTTAGTTTGGTTACGATTTGACATGTTACGTGTGCCTGACATATACTAGTGATATTTTGTTAGGTTGGCCCTCCTTTACTCCAGTTATAACCCCTATCAGCATGTGCCGTGCCACAGAAAGTGGGCGGTATGGTTAGTGCCTGGAAGGAATCCAATGTATAGGTGAAAGGACTAAAAAAGATTTATAAACTACAACCCCCTAGACCAGTGGGTCTCAACCTTCCTAATTCTCTGACCTTTTAATACAGTTCCTCATGTTGTGGCGACCCTTGAATACAGTTCCTCATGTTGTGGCGACCCTTGAATACAGTTCCTCATGTTGTGGCGACCTTTGAATACAGTTCCTCATGTTGTGGCGACACTTGAATACAGTTCTTCGTGTTGTGGCGACCCTTGAATACAGTTCTTCGTGCTGTGGCGACCCTTGAATACAGTTCTTCGTGTTGTGGCGACCCTTGAATACAGTTCTTCGTGCTGTGGCGACCCTTGAATACAGTTCCTCGTGTTGTGGCGACCCTTGAATACAGTTCCTCGTATTGTGGCGATCCTTGAATACAGCTCATCATGTTGTGGCGACCATTGAATACAGTTCCTCATGTTGTGGCGACCCTCGAATACAGTTCCTCATGTTGTGTCTACCCTTGAATACAGTTCCTCATGTTCTTGCGACCCTTGAATACAGTTCCTCATGTTGTGGCGACCCTTGAATACAGTTCCTCATGTTGTGGCGACCCTTGAATACAGTTCCTCATGTTTTTGCGACCCTTGAATACAGTTTCTCATGTTGTAGCGACCCTTGAATACAGCTCCTCATGTTGTGGCGACCCTTAAATACAGTTCCTCATGTTATGGCGACCCTTGAATACAGTTCCTCATGTTGTGGCGACCCTTGAATACAGTTCCTCATGTTGTGGTGACCCTTGAATACAGTTCCTCCTGTTGTGGCGGCCCCACCCTTACAGTTATTTTCGTCGCTACATCATAACTTCATTGAATATTTGTTTTGCGACCCCAAAAACAGGGTCACGACCCATAGATTGAAAACCGCTGCCCAAGACACTTGGCCAGCCTGTAGTACATCCCCTGACCGCACAAGTGCAGCCAAACAACAATTATCAACAGGTAAACATCCTACCTATACAGACCTGTTACATTAGATATAGAACACACACAAACGAGTCGCCCAGCTTCTGAGTTGAGTGCATGGCGTGACACTGTGAGCTACGTGTATTTTTCGTTGGCACAGGAGCGGAGTAACTATGGGGTGACCCGATTGCTATGAAGCTGAAACTAGGGTTACCAGATTACCAGATTACAAACGAGTGGATTCAGGAGCCAACAGAGTGCTGTATGCATCCAGCTGGACAGCAAATGCAGGCAACAAGAACGGGTCGCCTTGCAGGTAGAATTTCAGGCCTGCGTGTTTGAGAATGCATCTCTAAGCGATGCAGTCATTTAAAGAAATGTATCTTTTCTTTAACATGCAATGAGCGCAGGCTATTGAGGTGAAAGGACAACTGTGAATTGAAACGGACTATAAGAAACTCTCACCATTGTGATCTTGGCAGTAACACTCGGACAGGCTTTTTCAGTAGCCCAACTAGAATGATTAAAGAGATAGCAACCGGCATAAATAGTGGTTGAAGTATCTAGGTCGTGACATTATAATGAGCAGCTTATTACTAGGCTTAAATTTTTTGTTTCAACAACCTCTCTCGTCTAGGTCTTACATCGGTTATGTCTTCTTCTTCTTCTTTGTTCACCAGCTGTAAGCTCTAGCAGAAAGTCCTGGTTGTTCGTCTATTTGAACTTTGGCTTTGTGCCAGGGCCTGAGTTTTGAGTGTGCATCCGTTTCACTTGCTTTTTTGTGTGCAGCTGATTGTTCCTTGCCACTCGGGCAGATACTCTCCGACTACGAAGGAGGTCCCCAGTTAGTCGACTCCTACGACATGCTTGTTGGAAAGGCAGTCGGTCTGTTCTTGTTTTCCCCAAAAATGTCGCCCCACAACCCATACGAGGAACATTAGATATCTGTTTTCCTCACAATGGAGCTCTGGACCTCACACGGGGAACATCAGAAAAATGTTTTCCTCACAATGGAGCTCTGGACCTCACACGGGGAACATCAGATATATGTTTTCCTCACAATGGAGCTCTGGACCTCACACGGGGAACATCAGATATATGTTTTCCTCACAATGGAGCCCCGGACCTGACACGGGAACATCAGATATATGTTTTCCTCACAATGGAGCCCCGGACCTCACACGGGAAACATCAGATATATGTTTTCCCCACAATGGAGCCCCGGACCTCACACGGGGAACATCAGATATATGCTTTCCTTACAATGGAGCCCCGGACCTCACACAGGTAACATCAGATATATGTTTTCCTCACAATGGAGCCCCGGACCTCACACGGGAAACATCAGATATATGTTTTCCCCACAATGGAGCCCCGGACCTCACACAGGTAACATCAGAAATATGTTTTCTTTATAATGGAGCCCCGGACCTCAAACGGGAACATCAGATATATGTTTCCTCACTATGGAGCTCTGGACCTCACACGGGGAACATCAGATATATGTTTTCTTTACAATGGAGCCCCGGACCTCACACGGGGAACATCAGATATATGTTTTCTTTACAATGGAGCCCCGGACCTCACACGGGGAACATCAGATATATGTTTTCCACACAATGGAGCCCCGGACCTCACACGGGGAACATCAGATATATGTTTTCTTTACAATGGAGCCCCGGACCTCACACGGGGAACATCAGATATATGTTTTCTTTACAATGGAGCCCCGGACCTCACACGGGGAACATCAGATATATGTTTTCTTTACAATGGAGCCCCGGACCTCACACGGGGAACATCAGATATATGTTTTCCTCACAATGGAGCCCCGGACCTCACACGGGGAACATCAGATATATGTTTTCCTCACAATGGAGCCCCGGACCTCACACGGGGAACATCAGATATATGTTTTCTTTACAATTTAGCCCCGGACCTCACACGGGGAACATCAGATATATGTTTTCCTCACAATGGAGCCCCGGACCTCACACGGGGAACATCAGATATATGTTTTCCTCACAATGGAGCCCCGGACCTCACACGGGGAACATCAGATATATGTTTTCTTTACAATGGAGCCCCGGACCTCACACGGGGAACATCAGATATGTTTTCCTCACAATGGAGCCCCGGACCTCACACGGGGAACATCAGATATATGTTTTCCTCACAATGGAGCCCCGGACCTCAGACGGGGAACATCAGATATATGTTTTCCTCACAATGGAGCTCTGGACCTCACACGGGGAACAACATATATATGTTTTCCTCACAATGCAGCTCTGGACCTCACACGGGGAACATCAGATATATGTTTTCCTCACAATGGAGCCCCGGACCTCACACGGGGAACATCAGATATATGTTTCCTCACAATGGAGTTCTGGACCTCACACGGGGAACAACAGATATATGTTTTCCTCACAATGGAGCCCTGGACCTCACACGGGTAACATCAGATATATGTTTTCCTCACAATGGAGCTCTGGACCTCACACGGGGAACATCAGATATATGTTTTCCTCACAATGGAGCCCCGGACCTCACACGGGAAACATCAGATATATGTTTTCCTCACAATGGAGCCCCGGACCTCACACGGGAAACATCAGATATATGTTTTCCTCACAATGGAGCCCCGGACCTCACACAGGGAACATCAGATATATGTTTTCCCCACATTAGAGCCCCGGACCTCACACGGGAAACATCAGATATATGTTTTCCCCACAATGGAGCCCCGGACCTCACACAGGGAACATCAGATATATGTTTTCTTTACAATGGAGCCTCGGACCTCAAACGGGAACATCAGATATATGTTCTCCTCACAATGGGGCCCCGGACCTCACACGGGAACATCAGATATATGTTTTCTTCACAATGGAGCCCCGGACCTCACACGGGAACATCAGATATATGTTTCCCTCACAATGGAGCCCTGGACCTCACACGGGGAACATCAGATATTTGTTTTCCTTACAATGGAGTTCTGGACCTCACACGGGGAACATCGGATATATGTTTTCCTCACAATGGAGCTCCGGACCTCACACGGGGAACATCAGATATATGTTTTCCTCACAATGGAGCCCTGGACCTCACACGGGGAACATCAGATATATGATTCTAGACACATATTTTCGAGGCCAATCAGCACGAGCTAGGTAGTGAGTTCAACATAATGTCGACCGCCTTAACTTCTAAGGCCTTCACCTGGTACCTAATTTACGCTAAGTGGGCATGGGAGCCAATGTAAGTTTGAAAAAAAACATTCGACTCGATGCGGGTTCGAACTTAAACACTTCTGGCCAGAGGTGAATGTTTAGCCTCTTTGCGCAGTAGCGCCCTATACTACGTAGACTTTGCCTATAGTCCTTAAGGCAGTCCTAGTGTTTTGTTGCGAGTCCACGGAGACGAATAAGACAGTTATACTGCAGCAAAACGGCAGTTCAAGAAAAACAAAGCGATCAATAGACAACAAGCTACTTACCTAACAAACTCATGTTGATGCTGTCCTTAAATCCTTGTTTGATGAAGACGATAATATTTGTCACGTTTGCGCCAATTCCAAACAAACTCACAATTCCGCAGATGAAGACAAACAGAACTATTCTAAACATCTGACTGACCTCGTTGCTGACTGGGTCAGTGTTGAGTGACCCTCTCTCTTCCACTAAGATTACTGTCAGATCTTGAAATATATTCTTTTCTGTTGTGCTTTCGACTGATCCAGTGTCAAGACCTGCTTGTAGTAACACATCCATTTTCTGCTTGATTAAACAGAAATGATATGCATCGCATGTATTCTTTCTATTAAATACAAGGAGATTTTCGAAGCAAACAACAAGAAAATGTCACACTAGGGAAAACATCCTTGGAAATACCTAAACATAAATGTATACGCGTTAAAGATCGTCGCGTACTTGCACAATTCAATGAAAATATACAAAACAGATCAGGCTTAAGTAAACAGTATTTTAAACGAATGAAATGTATAGAAGACATGCTCAGAATAGATAAAAGTTTCAATAATAATATATATAACAAGTTTGAAGGTTATGGACTTTGGCAACAAGTTGGGAAAATCAATAGAAAGTCAAGGACCGTTTTCGACGACCTCGGGCGCATAACGCAGATAGTTCTGACCTTATTTTTTTAAAGACCTGGCATTCGGCGGGTGGTGTGGTCAGCAACTCTACGGGCGCCACTTCCCAGGACTTTACCTTGTACCCATGTAAGGATGAATCGACCTAGAAGCCAATGTCATTACTGAAAAAAAGTGGATTTTAACAAACGACCTTTTGATCCTCAGGCGAGCGACTAGCCGCTACTACATAATGGCGACTTCCTCTGTTACCAGTATCCACATATAGATGAGGTTAAACAGTAAATGCTTTTAGAAGTCACTAGCCTTTAAAGCTGAGATAGGAGGAGGACGGAGAAGGGAGACTGACGCCTTTGCCGTGACTATGGAGTCTGACTACGGGGGTCATGGCGGTAGCTTTCCCTCTAGCCGTGCTGAAGATGCGGAGCTTCTATCGCGAATGTGTCTTGTCTTAGTGACTCAAAAATTATGCACAGGAAGACGGAGATTGTCCCGGGTTCGTAGAAAGTGGTCTAAGTTTCCGAGGCAGTCTCAGCTGATAAAGATCAGTTTAATTTGTCTGCCCTAGAATGCACGTTTAGGGGGCTAACGTAGGTTAGTAGAAGCAGCAGTAGTCGTAATAGTTGTAGCAGCAGTAGTCGTAATAGTTGTAGCAGCAGTAGTCGTAATAGTTGTAGCAGCAGTAGTCGTAATAGTTGTAGCAGCAGTAGTCGTAATAGTTGTAGCAGCAGTAGTCGTAATAGTTGTAGCAGCAGTAGTCGTAATAGTTGTAGCAGCAGTAGTCGTAATAGTTGTAGCAGCAGTAGTCGTAATAGTTGTAGCAGCAGTAGTCGTAATAGTTTGTAGCAGCAGTAGTCGTAATAGTTGTAGCAGCAGTAGTCGTAATAGTTGTAGCAGCAGTAGTCGTAATAGTTGTAGCAGCAGTAGTCGTAATAGTTGTAGCAGCAGTAGTCGTAATAGTTGTAGCAGCAGTAGTCGTAATAGTAGTAGCAGCAGTAGTCGTAATAGTTGTAGCAGCAGTAGTCGTAATAGTTGTAGCAGCAGTAGTCGTAATAGTAGTAGCAGCAGTAGTCGTAATAGTTGTAGCAGCAGTAGTCGTAATAGTTGTAGCAGCAGTAGTCGTAATAGTTGTAGCAGCAGTAGTAGTACTAGCAGTGATGGTAACAGTAGACGTAGCAGTAGTAGTTCTAGTAGTGGTGGTGGAGTAGTAATAGTAGTAGTAGTGGTAAAGGCGATGGTGGTGGTAGGAGTAATATTATATATACTAAAGAGGTAATGTACTGATCAGCACTCATTAAAAAAAAAAGTAGAAAGATAGAAGGAAACACTAGACAACATAAAAATCTAAACTTATGTTAAAGAGGCGGGAATCGAACCGGTTATCTCCAAATAACGAATGTGCCTCGCTGTGGAAATAAGTGTATGTACATGACTAATTAGGCATCCCTAAAAAAGGTGTCTTCATTAGCCATGTCTATCGTACAGCTTGAAATCCACAACTAAGGAATACGGACAGAATTCATCCCAAATCATTGAAGTGGCACCACGGGTTACAGAAATGAATATTAAATAGGTCGAATAACAACCATGACAACAATTATAATCACGTCGGATCATATTGCCCCAAACCTACTCAGTCTTCCTCTTGAAATACATTTTCCTCTAGTTTTTTTTAGCTATCTAGCTGAGGACGTTGCTTCGACCTATCTGGAAAAGACAAAGATCATGATAATAAACCAGACAAATAGTAATGTGGTTTCTCCTAATGGTATCCCACTACAAGACGTGTAGTAGTACACCTTTGGAGGGAGGGGGAGGGGAGAAGAGAGCCTGCGTGGTCTCTAGTGCTAGAGGTTCCGGTTTCAATCCCCAGTAAGGGCTGGGAGTTTATTAACCTGGACTTGGACTTCTAGTAATTCTCCCTGGTTTCTGAGTAGTAAGATCAGACGCCTGTGTGCATTGTTGCGCACGCAAAAAATCCCTTGGCAGTTAGAAATCAAAAAGAGTAGCAATTTGGAGTTAAAAATCTACCTGAAGTATTTCAGGATCCTCGCCGCTGCTACAGAGCCTGTTCACTGTGCTAAGCTTCTTCAGACTCAGACTCGACTTAGAAGAAGAACGGACCACTTATGGATTACTACCCGAGTGACATGATGTTGATCCGTTATTCTAAAGCTCAAAAACACAGAAAAATGCAGGGCGAAAATCTTCTTTTTAATAATATTGCAAATCGAGGCAACTCTATAATTATTTTTCTGTAGTTTATAGTTACAGTTACTTTGCCGTCATGTTATTGTTTGAAAAATAATTAAAATAGTCACAGAAAAAAAAATTATTATATTGAGCGGAAAAAAAACGTGAATAAGACATTATTGTCATAAACAAAGTAAAAACTAATATGTAGGTATTCAGAACGTGTCACTGGTTGAGGATACACATTATATGCTAGTTACAACGTAAGATATTGTTAAATTGCTAGCAGAAAACGATTTTTATTCCATTCTATTTCAACTCAAATTATAGAGCTCATAGAATTTGTACACGTGAAATTCTAAATCGTTAACATTGGTTTCCTGAACTAAACAATCTCTGTGGCGTTCTAAAAGTGTATTCATGTTATCAAGTGGAATGCCTAATTAAATCTGAGGGGCGTTGTAGATAAACATATGCATTTGTTTACTGATTTATTGTTGTATTGTGTTATTGTGTGTCACATAGAGCTCCCATTCTATTTCTCCATAACCACGTCGTCCTCTTGGGGGATGCAATATATTTCATTATTTGAAGCCCCACCATGGTTTATGCTGGGCGCTCTGAATATAGCCGGGCTATGAATGTGGCCATAACAGCTGAAAAGGGTTTCTGGGGCCTCTCCACGGAAGATCCTCATCCTCATGGTGGCACTTTGTGTCACCGGGGGTTTATCGGCTAGAGTAATGTTCTAGTGGGATACAACAAGCAAGCAAGCAAGTACTTTTCTATTCCGTTATAACCTATGTAATCAATCCAATATCATGGACAGAATTAGCCCAAGCATTTTTGGCCCCTTTACGTGTCGTTAACTTTAGAGTTCTTGCTTCCTCAATCCTTCTTGTTACCTATTCAAGTGCCTGTTTAGGGGTTCTCTGCTGGTTTGGTCACATTCAGATCAACTGGTAATAATGTATGCAAACAAAAACAAACACGTGCTTGAAATACGAGAAGTTAACCTGGTCTACAAATGTTCAAGGAAGTCGGATGTGTCGGCCCAAAGGCGCAAATATCGCAGATTTGCTGTAAACAGGAACAACGCAGTTACGTCAGACGAACAGAAGAAGAGGAAGAAATACTGGGAATGAAAATAGTTTTAAAGGTACTAAAATCGGACATCTGGAATATTTTGACCATTAACGGTTTTTTAAAATAAAAGCTATAAGCTTTAAGGAACAAGATTAAAACAAGCAAGCAAAACGAGAGACGGCGATACAAGTGGAAGGGAAATATCAAGAAATGGACGAACGGGTGACGGAGAGCGTCTACAGCAAGGACAAGAGGCAGAAATATTGGAGATCCTTTTCATTAACCTTTACTGTGAAGACGGCACCTGATTGATTAATTGATTAATTATTGGCAGGGGTAAAATTTGAGGATTAAGGGTTTAAACAAGGGGATCAACATCATGGCAAACGGGTGCCGTAAGTGCTACGTTCTTCTTCTAACTTATACTGAGTCCGAATAAGCTTAGCTCAGTACACAGACTCTGTAGCACCGGTGAGGATCCTGAATTACTTTGGGTAGATTTTTAACTCTAAATTTTGCCCGGGCAGCGTTATAAGGCTACTCTTTTTTATTTCCAACTGCCAAGGGATTTTTAACGTTCCCAACAATGCACACGGGCGTCCGATCTTACTGCCTAGAGACCACGGGAAATGGCTAGAAGTCAAAGTCCACGTGAAAAAAAAAATCTAGCCCTTACCAGAGATTGAAACCGGACCCTCTAGCACTCAAGCCAGATACCATGCATCGAGACCACGCAGCTCCCTATCCGAGGTATGAAATAAGGTACTGATTACGATGCTGCTGGCATCGTTGGTTTAATTCTCACCATTTCATTCTTTGTTTCTCAATAATTTTGACGATGGGTGTTCTTCCAACAGTTCTTGTGATCACGTCGTTTCTCACTCAGTCGCTTCTGATTCACAGTCATTCTCAAACATCTCATCTCACAGGTGGTTCATTTTCTTTCATGTTCATTTGTCATTGTCCACGTCTGACATTGGTAACCTAAAGTCGGTATAAATATTGTATTTATAATTTGTCTTTTTGTCTCTATTGGGATATTCTGACAATAATTTGTTAATATAAATATCTTACATTAATTCAATTTGTTCTAATAATTTATTATTGTTTTTCTTTCTTTTATTAATTAAAATTTGGACATGAGAAGTGAAAAAAAATCCTTATGTGACAGGAGGGGTTTGAAAAGAAATTATGATAGAGTGGATGAGTTTAATAGAGAAGGCTGCAAGGAGTTCAGAAAAGTAAATAATTTCAGCAAACGCCAGGTAAATTGCTTAGTATACCCGGTGACCTAACATTACTGTAGGTGTTATTATTGTTGTCTCCTCACATACCGCTACCTAGACAGGATGAAAAAAGAAGGAGGGTTGTGGGTTCGGA